TAATATTATATAAAAAAAATTTTTACTGGAAAACCGCTTTGAAAAAACGTTCTGTTTTGCCATAATTGTTCATATTATTTCAACTTAGCCGTTCAGATTAAAATTAATTTTTAATTACTTATTTAAAAAATATATATACTGAGTAGTGAATGAATAAAAGTAACTTGATGTTCACGAGACAACACGTATATTTATATTTTACAGATATTTTTATTCAATAATCAAGCACTAAATTAATTATATTTTTTAAATATACTAATAGATATAGATGGTTTAAATCTTTAGACATATTTATATTCAAAATGATAATTTAAAAACATTTAATTCTATCATATTCAATCCGCAAGTTGGCGTTTATTATTCTTAAATATTTTAAATAAAGTTATATATTTTTATTTTTCCATTCAATTGTTACTTTATTTAAGTAAATAAAACTTTTTTATATTTTTATTTATTAAATCTACTTTTAAAATATCTAATAGTCTTACAATAACATAAAATAGACATGTTATATAAAAATTAAAATATAAAATTAAATCATTCGCCGGTAAATTATTTTGAGTCATTGATTTTAAATAACACATGGACATTTAAATAAGGTATTTATTAATATTATTTGATCTCTACTATATTTATACTATTAATTCTTTATATTTTTTAAATATTTCGGTTTATATCGAAATCACAGCTGATTCTTCACACTTATAATAATTTTTGTAATATATGTCACAACATATGTATTTCAAATTTTATCAAAGCCTTTTCATCGCTTCACTTCATATTTATTAATTATATATTTATTGGCTAGATTTTATAAATAACAGCCTTAAATATCGCATCGCTTGAGAAAATAGCGCTTACTGTAAATGAGGCGTATGACATTTTCAGGATTTCTTTTGGATAATATTTTTACAATTTTTTTGTAATAAATTAGTTATTTAAAAAAAACGGTTTCAATTTAAAAATCAAATACAATATAAACGATATCAAAATAAAGTATATTTTAAAAAAAACAAATAAGAATATATAAAAAAATTTATGAAAAAAACATAAATTTTATATAAAATACATTAAAAAAATAACTAAAAAAGATAGTGCATATCATCTTAGAGAGGAGAAAATTCTTAGGAAATTAGACCTGCAGATTCCGAGTGAGTGAAATCTGCTGACGAAGATAGAATCTTTTGTTGGGGAAATTAAACATGGATGATCATAAAAATGTAAAAAATATATTCGAAATCTAGTAATTTAATTCAATTTTTTATAGATAATAAGTAAATAGTGTTTACTTTTTAAATTTTTATAGAATATTTGAAAAAATTAAAAAAAAAAAAATTATGCAATCATATTTTTTTTTAAATTATTTTAAATGCAATTATATTAAAGGATTTAATGTATTAAAGGAAATATAATTATTAATTTATAATCTAGCAATTTAGTTTTATAATATCAAATAATAGATTTTTTCATATTATTTATATTCAATATAAATATTCCAGGTATTAAAACAATCATCCCTCCGAGGTATTTATAAATTAAATATATATATATATATCGAATTAAATATATACAATTTATATTTTATTATATAATTCAACAATTCACAATTTCTAATAGCAATTAAATTGAAAAACACAATACCTCATAATAAAATAACATATTAATTAAAAATAAATTAATATATTCCTTTTTATCTTTTCTTTTATATCATATTTTTTTCTGAATAAATATTTATTTAATTTAATACCAATATTACTCATGTATCACATCTACATATGAATCCGCACATTTTAATTAACAAACATTAATTCCGTATACAAGATATCAACTGAATAGGCACATTTTATATAATATTAAACATTTATCTCTAATACAATAATACAGTAATTAATTTAGGACACAATTATATCACCAGTAATTATAACTCCAATCAAAATAATACTCTCGTGAATGATTAGTTATTATGTGATATGTTTTTAAAATTAAAAATTTATTTAGCGCAATCAGTATGATTTTTGGGTATTTTAATTTGTATTTTTACTTTATTATATTTATAAACTTGATCACTCCCAGAGAAAATTATAATGCTAATAATTATTGTATTTGAGGTTTTTAGAATAAAAATTTTTCTTCATTTTCTTGGTTATTCATTTTCTAAGTTAACGGATCGTATTTACTGGTGACACGGGCAATTAATACAATATAAAATTCTCTTAATAAAAATTTTTTATGACATTTTCTCTCACTTTATTTTTTTTTCTAAATAAATTTATAAGCTGCCGAGCTAAAATAAAAATGTCTCAAAGATATTCTAAAGGAGCACTTTCTAATAGTTTGCGATCTGCTGACAAAAAGATAAAATTGATCCCAAGTAACATAAATTATATAATATATTTGTCAATCTAATCTGGCACATAATCTCTCAGTATCCAAATATAGATATGAAAGCAGATGGATCTAGTGGTGATTCGTCCTTCAATGCTAGGAATACAGCAAAAAGAAAAATCCCAAAAAATTGAAATCGATAAATCCAAAGTAGTTAAATTTTTTAATAATATTTAATTGGCACAATAAAGAATGAATAATTATTTTTAGTTTTTCGAATGTCGTAATAATTTACACATTAATATGGTGAATTATGAGGGATTCCATATTTTACTCTATCCCAAATGTCATTCTCTATAATGAAAATAAATACTTGGGTGGCAAAATAAAATATTCCTCAATTGAACTTAGAATTCAAATCATGCATGAATTAAAAAAACATGCTAATCTCTTTCAATGACAGAGATAATAGATCTGCATTGGGTATAAATGTTCAATATTTAAGAGATGGCCATATAAAAGTAGTGCGGATACTAGGAATGATAGTGGTATAAAACTATTCATAGTTTACCTTTTAGGAAGTAATCGAAACAATTTTAAAAAAAATACCACTAGATTTAAAACAAATTAATACTATCACTTTGGATAACGGGGCCAATATGCCTAAAATGATTGAGATCAATTGAATAATGATGAAAACAATGAGGAAAATATTTTTTGACACAAGTAAATTTATGCATTGATGAAAACATGTTACTCTATCGGATGAAGAGATACTAGAGGGTATAGAGGACTAGTATGAAGAAAAGGACGATTATTAGATGATAGACGATATAAGAGTTTTGATCTAAGCAGTATTAGATGTTCAGCATATACAATAAAACTTGCCGCAAATAGCTTTATTAAAGAATATTTAAAATTAGATTTAGACGAAGTTCAAATTATTTATATCTCATGATAAAAAGTTATTTCCAATGGGCAAAATAAACCCACCTTAGATTCACTAGGTAAAATAGTAATTTATGATAAAAAATCTTAATGGTAACAAAAGAATTTTATGACAATGGGTCATTTGCAGAGACTTCAATTAGTTCCGATTTACAATCCTAGCTGGCACTTTTGTCTTACTTCTTTTATATATGCTCACCACAAAATTTAGTGTTTGTTGATTTTTTTGCATTTTGGTTAGAATAGGGAGTGAAAAGAAAAGATGAGCTACCTAAAAATATAATTGAATGCCTAAACATAAGAGAAGATTTTCTATTTTAAAATGATTCTCTTAAAAGCGATATATATGGATCCAAGATTTCAATATTAAAATGAAAAATATCCTTAGGAAGACGATAAAATATTGGCCAGGTAAATTAATAAACTTGAGAATATAATTCTTTATTATTTTAGGAACATATATTTGCAACCTGGTATTTACAAGTCGTTGACCCGTATAGAAATCCCAACGTTAATTTTGCCTATTTCAAAGAATTACCGCAAACGACCTTTACATCGAGAGAGATTGTTAAAGGTAACCTTTTGATATGAATTGGGGAACAGCGACATCAAGATTAAAATAAAATAGCTATTATACAACAAAATGCCATCATATCTTGAAATAATGGCTTTCAAAGCATTAAGATGCAGAACTATTAGTACATATCTTCCTTTCCGCTCCTTGCATTCAGGCTCAGTTGAGAGAGCAATTAGTGCTTTAGCACTAACAGTAACTTCGCCAAGGGTACGATTAGATAAGGATTCCCAAGTTTGCTTCGGAAAAGGCATGGTACTTGCTGGATTCAGGTCTATCGGATTCGTGATCAACGCACTCACCGACAGATTTACAAAAATATTACTAATTAAATTACATTTACCTTTTATATTTTAACAGTTTATTTTATTATATAAATATTATTACGACTACCTTGTAAAATTGTAATATTATACAGTAATTTACCTTTTTATCTTTGGATTTTTAAATTTAGATTTTATTTATACATTTACAATAAATATTATCAAAAACAAGACTGTAAACCAAAACCCGAGCCCTCAATATTTTACTGAACCCAAATCTGAACCCTTTTTTTAAATTTAGGGTTCAGGGTTCAATAAATTTTTTTTATTTTGAAATTTTGGCGTAGCCTAAATATTATCATTCAAATTATTTAGAACTTATAACATCATTTTTTTTATTTTCAACAAAAAAACATTTTTTGGTGAAAATTATTTTGCGCGAAATCCTATTTATTATATTTTAGAGTATCCATTTTATGTAAAAATTTTACCAGAATATTGTTACTTTTTTTAATAATAGATAATAATATATATTTTAGGAATATATATTTTTGTTTGTTTGATTATTATATTAAAAGTGAGACCAAAGAAAAGAAAATAATCACAAAGTAAAAAACTTTTATTAATTGCAAGTTGCAATGCACTGAAGTTAGACATAAAAAGTGATATTTTATTATCTCGATTTTGAAAGATATCATGATAATTGGCTTATTTATTTTATAGTAAAGCATATAGTAAAAAAAATTTCAAACACAAAAACACTAAGTAATTGAATATTACATTTTTTTAAATAATATAATAATATAAATATACGATAAATATAATAATAATTTATATAAAAATCACTATTTATATTATTTTTAAACATTTTATTATATTTATTTTACTACATTGAATTAGTCCTGAAATAATTTTTTTTAAATATAATAAACTCTGATAAGATATCATTTTAATTGCTATGGATTAAATTAAGAAAGAATCTTATTTATTTAAATAAATATCATAATATTAAAAAAAATATAGTTGATATTGATATAAAAATTTACCTCTAATTTGATAATACTATTAAAAAAATCAATTTTTTTATAAAATTATATTTTAAATTAGAATAAATTGGGTTCACAAATAATAGTATATCATGTATTGCCTAAAATTATATATAATAAAAATATCTTTTTAAATTTGATAAAATTGTTAAATTTATTTGATATAAAAGCTTTTATAATATTTTATTTAGTAAATTTAAAAGAAAACAGATGTTTAATGTAAAAAATAAATGTGTGTTCAATTTTACAACTTTTTATCGGGTTAATTTTTCATAGGGCAATTCTATATCGATTTTTATAAAATTATTCAGGAGGAGAGATTTCAAAAAAAAAGGATTTCGTGTATTTTAAATAGGAAAACACAATTGAATATTGCATAAATAATTATTCTTAATTATATTTTAACATTTTTTTTGTGGATATATAAGAATACAATACTGAAGAATTCATTTATCAAAAAAAAAGTGGATATATAACACATAATACTCAACGATTTATTAGATTATAAAACTTGATTTAAATATTGTAAAGAATCTAGTAAAAGTCACGAATTTTACCTCCTCTACTATAAATTTCTAAAAAGTAAATCAACGGCAAAAATATTCATTTTTTTAATTCATTTAAATAATTGACAGGTTCTAAACACACGTGATCATGGCACAAATACAAAGTTGGTTTTTTATTTTTTTCAGTTATATTTCTAACATGCTAAAAAAAAAATTTTTTTTAATTATTTAAGATAAATTATTTACTTCTTTATCTTTCAATGTTCCATCATAATTCGGCTTCAATACAATAGTTACATCTGAATTCATTATTGCGTATTTAAGAAGTGCGCGCGTGTTTTTATCACTGTTATCTCCGATTATGGTAGACTAAATATATATATTTTTTTATAGACTATATTATCTTTCATTGATAAATATTACTGTAGAAGGATCATTAGCATACACATGGTAAGCGATGGTTAATTTCGGCAAGGAATAAGAAAGTTTTTCAATTTGCTGAGAAAATGCCTTGAATAAACTCGCACTTTTACTTTTAAAACTTTGTTCGTTGTATAAATAAGATAACTTAATGAGATTGTTAGCTGAAATCGAATTTCCACTAGGTTCAGCACCGTCTTGTTCTTGAATAAACATTTTTATAATTGTAGACTATGAGAAGATAAAAAAAATGTAGTTATTTTAAACGGCTCGAGATTTCAAATAAAGATTTTAGACAAAATAATATGCAATCGAGATTTTAATAGATGTCCAGACCATTCTGCTATCTACGAGCAAAATTTCCAAGTTTGCATAATTTTTTTGGCTTAAATATTGGGTTAACCGTTTTTAAAAATCAAACCGTTTAATCATTAGCGTCATAGAGCCCTCTCAAAATTTTGAATATTTTAATATTAAATATAATTTTGATAATGTTAGCTAAAAAAAAGGTAATTTGTGAAATTTTTTGAGCCCCCTGAAATTGTAAAGGATAATACGCTCTTACGTTTAACATCACTAAAAAAAATACAGTGTTCAAAAATAAGGCTGCCACATAAAAATTGAAAAGATGATGGTGTTCTCTTTTTTTTAAAAAAATTCGACTATTTATGAATTGGTTTCTAAAATTTTGTTAGGAAAAAAATATCTAAGCTTACTATTTCAATATTTTATTTTTTTAAAAAATCAGATGAAATCTAATTTTCGATTTGAAGAAATTAATAAATATATGATCCAGGGTTTATAATAATCATAAAACCCTTACCTTCTTTAACACGTAACAGCTGGTGATCATTGTTCGAATTAATAAAATACCCACCATTTTCATCATCCCAAAATAATGTGTTTTGAATGTTCTGAAGATTCCGAGCTAATTTTAAATATGTTTCATCAAATGTGGCCTCGTAAAGGTCTAGTAAACCGTATATGTAGAAAGCGTAATCGTCTAAAAACCCTTGTATGGGTTGATCCCTGAAGGAGAATATAATAAAACATAATTTAATAAATATTATATATATTTTTTTAAAAAATATTTTAAGTATTTAAAAGAAGAAATAAAAAGAAAGAAAGAACTAAGGTTTTCCTTTATACAAATTATTAAACAAGAAAAAAAAATTAATGCCAATAAAAATGTTAAAGGTTTCATAGAAACTCGAATAGTATCCTCGGAACACTGAAATTATAAGATAAAATTTAAATTAAAAAAATAAATATGCCATATTTTAGAACTATCTTTTAATCTAAAATTTTTAATATAATAGGATTTGGATCTATATTATTCTGACTGAGAAAAAACACTGGTGAAATCCCAAATAATTTGATTTGCTTTATATACCTGGGAATATTAATATATATATTCTTTTCATTTAATAATTCAAGGATAGGGAAATTAATATAATTATAATAAATTTCAAATTAAATGACATATTTTAATTTATTTTAGAAGATTAAATAATTACAATTGTTGCATTGTCTTTAAAGTAGAATCGTAATATATGCTTCTTATTAATTGACCGTTTTGGACCATCATGTTCTTTTGAATAAAAAGCGCACACTTTTTAGCCATACCTATATATTCAGCATTGTCGAGTAAAATCCCAGCTGTGCACAGAGCTGACACCATTAAGCCTAAAAGAAAGGAATAAATAAATATAAAGAGAATAAGGTATAATATTTTAATTAAAATGTTAAACCAAACGATAAATATTTTTTTGTTATAATATTTAATAACAATTACCATTCCAGGATGTGATAATTTTGGTATCCTTAAAAGGGCGTGGTCTTTCATTCCTTTTTTCTAACAATTTTCCTTGACATTCTTTTAAAATTTTTGACAGAACATCAAATTCGATATTGAGTCTTTGGGACAATATTTCAATTTTATTATCCAAAGCTAGAACATTTTTATTTTTGAATTCCCCATGAATATCCTGCAAGATATAAAATTTATTGGGTAATTTAATTTCATTTTGTGGAATCTATGATATTAAATAACACTATGTTAATTATAAATTTAAAGAATCATGCAAAAAAAATTGACTATTAAATAAAATATATGTTTGTAGTATATTAAACTTAATCTCGTCCTTTGGATAGAATATTTAATAAAGAAGTTAAAATATAAAAAATATATTTTGATTTCTCGTTTATATAGGGTAGGAGAACTATGTTTAGATGAGAAGAATAGTTGTAATATGAAAATTTACTATAAGTTTTAGATTTATTATTTACATATATTTTTTTTTAAGAACTATCCAAAATTTGAAAATAATGTGATAATTAAAAATCATAATTTCTGGTTTTGTTTCTTTCTAACATTCTTTCTTAAATAACTTAAATATAATGAAGAAAATAAAACAATTACGTATTGAGGCTGTATATTCCCGTTTTGTTTGACACCGTAGCAATAATTAAATATCTCCGCATAATTCTTAAATTTAACGCCTTCCTTTTCGTAATGAATAGGGCTCAAAACATCGTCAATTTCATCTTTACCCCATACATAAAATGTTCCTTCGTTTTTGTGGGTTGAACCCTCGCTGGATAATGAATCGGCGTCTTCCGCACTAAAAAATGCTATGTTTTCAGGGTCCTAGTAAAATATATACATTGATAATTTTAAATATGTAGGTAAACATAGATAAATGGCCAGTTCTAAATAGCAAGGACCTAAACCATTATCTATAAAGGGTCAGATTGGAGAGAGAGGGGTCTAAAAATAATAATGTAATTAAAATAGTTCAGGTATAAAAAAGACACGATATAATATTTAGGGTAAGAGTATGAGTAATACAAAGAATAAAAATTGGGTAGGCCAATTAGGATGAAATTTTTGGACCTTATTAATAATATAAACTTGCATTCAATCTGATACAGTTAAATGGATTATTTTATTTCTGATATACTAAAATGTCAAAAAAGCAACTAGAGTTAAAAAAATTTAAATTCGAACTATCTTTCACTACTATCAAAAAAAAAACTTGCCATAGGACCAATGGCAGGCTTCAGTTAGAAAAATTTCGATTTTCCAGGTTTCTAGTTTATAATGTCATCTATTAGAAAATTTCACCATATTCATTCTTTTGTTCTTTATTATATTATAAAAATTTTATTCAACAAAAAAAAATATTAAAAATATATATTCAAAATTACATGAGTATAAGTCATTTGCTCTACGATATAAGAAATACCATTTTCTGCTATGTTTTTATAATATATGTCGCCAGTAGATGCGTAGCATTTACTGTAAGCTGATATTAGTTGAGCTTGATCGTACAACATTTTCTCGAAGTGTGGTAATTTCCATTTGTTATCAACTGAATACCGATGAAATCCCTATATGAAAAATAAAAAATAATATATAACATATTATGTTTGCTAAAATTGTATACATTTCCTAAATGATCATAGATCCCACCCAGCGATATGCAATCAAGCGTTTTGGTTATCATTTTAAGTGCCGAATTTTCCTTTTTTTGAAATTTCAAGTAGTAAAATAGGAAATCTAAAACAACTTTGTATTTTAAAATAAAATAATGTATTTTTAAGATAGGTTAAAAAAAATTAAATTATTATTATAAAGTATAAAAAAAAATTATTTATGCATCAACTTCAACACCCTTCTAAAGTCACATTAGGTTAAAATATTATATATCAAAACTTAATAATGGTTTCTCAGGATCGTGAAAAAAATGGAGACTTGTTTGGTTTATTTGGATAAACCAAATATAATAAGTCAAAAATATTGTCTATTATTTGAACCTATTTTAAAACTATTCATATTTATAAAGTGTCATGTAAAATTTATTTATACATGAATAAACTTTAAATTTATAAGAATTCTGTTAGAAAATAATCATAAAATTTTCGAACATTATATTTTCTGTTCATATTTTGCATTGTTGTTAAAAGCTACTTTTAAAAGTACTGCGCTATCGCTTTGAAAAAGTAGCGCGTTATTAGCTACCTATTCTACTTTTAGAATTTTTTTTAATATTTTTCACGTATCTCTATATTTTCACAAATAAAAAATATGACTAAAAATTTCAAATATATGTATAATTTATATATTTTTTATTGCATCTCGATAATAACATTTCAATACTGTCATCCCCAAGTCTAAAGCGAGGGTCAGAAAATATAACTGACTAAATAATCGTTCAACACTAGCATTTGAGAGAGTAATGCAGTATTAAATTTAATATAATGTAATTCAATGATAGAATTAGAATCATCATCATCGGAAAAAACTACATGTTTACTACTTTACTAACTAATTTAGTCATTTAATCTACATAATTGATATGGTTTATCGTTCTTGTATTATATTCATCTTTAAAAATGTTTATTTTCGAATTAAGTGTAACATATTACTTTTCCTCTTTATTTTATTACCGCCATCTATTTGTAATTTATCAACTCGAATTCATTTTGTATCTTTTTAAGTATCTTTATATGATAAATATTAGTTTTAATTTTAACTATTTTTTTCATATAACTTTGGTCAAGCTGATTATTAATCCTAAGACCAATAATATCATGAACATTGAACATCTCATATGGAGAAGAAAAATAGTCAAACCATGAATTTTTAACGTATTGAAAACATTCTATTCATTTTGAAGTCCAACAACTTCATTGTATGTCTCTTCAAATACTCTACAACTATTGACTTCTCGCAGATAAGGAAGTGCAAACGTCCTTCCTATAAATTTATAAAGTCGGCTATTATAAATTTTCGACATACCCAATTTATTTATTCTACGATATTGGGTCTGTAAATAATGAATGAGGCAACCTTTAACAAGTATATTGGTATATTATATGTTTCCTAAAGCGTTTTTTGCCTCAGTTTCAAAATCTATATGGGCTATTCTGGGCTGGAAAACTATATTATTTTGTGCACAAAAATTATTAATCATTGTAAATAATTTTATATAATCTTCATAGGATTTGTCAGGTGAAAACGCGTAAATAATCGGCATCGTATAATCTTTATAAATGGTATGTATACAGCACCATCTAAATAAATTTCTTTTGGTATCAATGATAATTTTTAAAATTATTCTCATCATTTCCAATGAGAAATGGCTTCCTTTGTGATTTATCGTCAGTAAGAATACTACTTTCTATAGTGGAGGTGTAGGAAAGTAACTCCTCCTCATTCTTTTAGTCGTTTTGTCTTTAGATATATAAGTAGGTAGGTTTCAGGCGTATCTAGCCTCATAATTGTTTGGTATATCTCCTTGGTATATTTTTCGGGATTATCTCTAGATAATAAAATATAAAAATAAATTATAAATGAATGACTTAACCCATGAATCGAACATATTCAATTTATGTTATATATAATACCTATTCAATCTTTTAGGTTACTAAATTATTACAATTTAAATAAATTTAAAAAAATATACATTTAAAAAAAAAAGGTGGTTAGATATATTTATTTAAATTTTTATAAAATATTATGTATAAATCTAATATAATAGATAAACATCATAAACGTAAAAATAGATATATTAGGCAAAATATTTCCATTTTCCAATATACTATGAATTTCGATAGTGTTTATCTCCTTATCCATATAAGCATGTTTATGTTGTTTTGTGATGGTGAACACACCATCATGTAATATTCCTCTTGAATTGCATCCTTTTTTCCTGCAAATATAATAACTTACCCCTTCTCGTTTATTATTTATCTTGAAGATGTTAGTATCTTTTACTAATATTATACCATTCTTTTGAGAATCGATTTCACAGTATGATGACGATCTTATAATAAATTTCTGTCTTATTAAAATCCTAATTATTTTCAGAAAGTGAATATTATATATCGATAATATATATACATCATTAAACTGGAAATTTAATAGTGATTCCGAATATATATAAATTTTTGTTTACTTAAAAATTTATGATTTAAACTTCTTTCTAAAAATATATATTATATATCGATATATACATCATTATATTGCAAATTTAATGGCGATTCGGAATAAAGAGATATATAATTAATAATTAAAGATCAAGTATGTAATTTTAATTATCGCTCAAATAATAGATGTTTTTATATTTAACATATTTTTCTAAAATTATATATGTTAGAGTCAAAGTGTTTTTTCTTGCAATGTGTTATTTTTTAAACTTTAGATCATTTTTTAAGCGCGTTTTTTTTAAATTTAATAATTTGATTTTACCGAAAATGTATTCTATCATGTTTGGAATACCTACTCTATAAATTTCAGACAATTTTGCTAAGAACTTTTGAACTTAATATAATTTATATTCGTTTTTTCCATAGATTTTTTATATAAATTATAAATGACTTAAAGGTTAACGGCAAAATTATTTACAATTCCTAAGATAGGTATTCTAAACAGGCTGTTGTAATACATTTCCGGTAATATCTAAATAAAAAATGCGCTTAGAAAATAATTTAAAGCTGAAAAAATAACACATTGCCGGAAAAAAACACATTGACGCTAACATATATATTTTTTTTAAATCGTTATAGTTTTGGGCTGTAAAAGTCAAAAGATAAAACGTTTTATATCAAATTATAAATTCAATAGTATTTTATTAAGTAAAATAATGACATTTTAAAAGCATCGCAAAGTAGTATAAAATCCCAATTTTTCTCTGAAGGGTTAATCTACCGTTGAAGATGATGGGTGTATAAATGAAATATATTTTATAAATTATTAATGTTATAAATGTCATATACAAATCAATCATACATATATATATCAATTGTCATGTGATAGCATACCTAATTTACATATACATATTAAATAAAGAAATTGTATATTGGCGATGTTCTTATTATGAATAAGAAAGATAACCAATTACTAGTGGTGAATTGAATATATCAAATGAAACGAATAATATTAATCAAGTAAATAATATTATACAAATGAAATTTGAAAATTATGATTAACAAAACAACTTTCAAGATTATATTGAATATTTAGATGATGTGTTGGAGGTAAGAGGTATATTAATAAAATGAAACCAAGAAAAAAATATTATTTGCTTATATAGGGATTAGTAATTTGGCAGAGATGAGGTCTTTTGTATATCCAAAAATTTTGAAAGACCTTAATTATGAGATAACTGAAGTGGGTAAAGAAGTATTAAGCCTATTTCAACGTTATACAGCTCGAGAATTAAGTTTATTCAGATAGAAAGAGGGAATGGTGAAGCAGTTGCTGAGTTTGCAGACCGACTTAAAAAATTGGCACAAGAGTGTAAATTTGAATCTGACCTGGATGGGAGATTGAGGGATCAGATGGTGGCTGAAATCCAAATGGGTGCATTGGAGAAAGATATTCGCACCAGATTTCCAGATGGAATAAATGACATGGGAGAAAGGGTGAGTTTTCAACAGGTTTTAAATATGGCTTTGGCAATGGAAAGGGCTGAGGATGAAGTGACAAATATGATAGTAAAAAAAGTTAATAAACCTAAGAAAAGTACCCATATAATAATAATAAAGAAAATATTGGTTATTACAATAATAATAATTTTAAGTTCAGAGATAATAGTAAATTTAACAATAATGATAGGTGTAAGTACAATGAATGCTCAAAATTTGGAAGAACTCACCCCCCTTTTCAATGTTTTGCATCAAGGGTAAAATGTTATAATTGCCAAAAGGTAGGGCATTATGCTAAATATTGTAAGGGACGGAAGTTACATGCTATGCATCAAGATGACAATGACTCATCAAATTCAATTAATAATATTTCCCAAATTGGTAGAAATAGTGCGAAGATATGTGTTAGGATAAATGGAGTACCTATAGAATTTGACTATGATACGGGGGCACATATCGGTGATTGGGAAACAATATTGGGATGATATTGGCCGACCAAGCTTGGACCAACCAAACCTTTGTCAGTATATGGTAACCAACCGCTGGATGTACTTGGTGAGACTATAGTAAGGGTTCGTCTTGAAAAGATAAGCAGATCACTACCGATTGTGGTGACCCGTTCAAATGACATACCATTATTTGGACTACCATGGATACTGACATTTTATCCCACTACAAGTTACTATGCGTAGCATCACAAGTAGAGGTTATGACAACCGATAAACAAATTCCTGGCATGACGACAGAATTTTTCAGTGTTTTTGATGAGAAGCCAGGACGGGTGAATGATATGGAAGTTAGCATACATCTGAGTGAGGCAGCAAGGCCGAAACCATGGCCATCTTTTCCATTACGAAAACCAATTGAAATGGAACTCGATAGATTGGTTAAATCGGGAATATTGAAGGAGGACCCAACAAAAAAACGTTTGACATGGGCTACTCCAACAGTAAACGTACGCAAAACAAATGGAGAAATCAAGATTTGTGCGGATTTTAAGGTGACATTAAACCCATATATTTTATACGATTATCATATACCAACGGTGAATGATCTTTTAACCAAATTAAAAGATGGGTTGAAATATAGATTTGAAAGATACATATTTACAATTACCAATAAAAGAGAGTCAAAAGAATACTTAACCATATCAACCCATATTGGTTATTTCCAATATCAATGTATGCTTTCGGTCTTACTAGTGCGCCGACCATTTCCCAAAGATATATGGATAAATTTATTACAAGATTGCCAAATGACCGGAGTATATCTTAACGATATTATCATAACGGGGAAAAATGATGTAGAACATTTGAATAACGTAAAAAAAGTATTAATGAAATTAAAACAGGTGGGTATGAAGACAAAATGGGCCAACTTTTTAAATAAATCAGTAGGTTTTGTAATAGACAAAAATGGAATAAACCCAGCGAAAGAAAAAATAGATGCTATTCGAAGGATACCAACTCCTAATAATATACACCAATTACGATATTTTTTAGGACTTGTGAATTATCACGAGATTTTTGCCACATCTGCATGGAATTGCCGCTCCACTGCATAAATTAAGAAGCATTAAATGTTGCTGGGGTTGGTCGGACAGGGAATATTTGATAAAATAAAACAGCTCTTGTCAACAAATAAAACGCTAATTCCATATTCGCCAAACTTGCCAATTATATTGGAATGTGACGCCTCCAACACTGGTTTTGGAGCTGTGTTGTGTCATTTAGTAAAAAAGGTATTAGCAGACCTATCGCATTTGCCTCGCGAACATTATTGGAGTCAGAGAAAAATTATGCACCAATAGAAAAAGAGGCACGAGCACTTTTGTTTGTGGAAAAATTTCATACTTTCATTTTTGGTCGAAAATTTATATTGCGAACAGATCACAAACCTTTGGAAAAATTATTTGGTGATAAACGGGAACTACCAAAAATATCCAATAGTCGATTAACGCGCTGGGCGTAAAATGTCGGCATATGATTCTGATATAAAATATGTTCGTGGAAAAGTAAATAAAGTAGTTGATACTTTATCTAGACTGCCAGTAGAAGGCATAGAATCGAATAACGATCAAAAACATGCGTTAAAAATCAGAGCTATAAATTTGCACGACATAATAATTAGTCAAGTTGAACTCCAGAAGGAAACAAGGAATGATATGTTTAAAAAAGTAGTTATAAACATTGAGCGTGGATGGGTGGAGTTTGATGCGAAAAAAGATACAGAGTTAGTTTGTTTTTATAATCGTAGAGAGGAATTGTCAGTAGATCATGATGTTATTGAATGGAATGGGAAGTTGGTAATTCCAACCGTTTTGAAGAAATCAATATTAACGATTATACACATAGGGCATCCAGGAATAAATGCTATAAAATCAATTTTTAGAATGTATTGTTGGTGGCCTAATTGCGATAAAGACTTTGAACAATATGTTCTTCAATGTATGCCATGTCAAAGTAACCGGTCGAATATTATGGAGGTTCCTTTATATTCGTGGAACATATCTAATATGCCATGGGAACGAATTCATTTGGATTTCGCGGGGCCTATTGATTCGTAATTCATGGTTAGTTGGAGTTGATGCACATACTAAATGGGTTGAGGTTGAGTTAATGAGAGAGACCACGTCCACGACAATGATCAGGACTTTAAGGAAATGGTTCGCACGGTTTGGAACACCTAGACAAATTGTATCAGATAATGGACCTCAATTTATTTCTGGAGAATTTCGAAAATTTTGTTTCAAGAAAAATATTAAATTGATACATACAACACCGTACCATCCAAAAACGAACGGTTCGGAAAGAACAATACGAACCCTCAATAGTCGATATTTTGCAACTAGGAAAGACATCAGGGAGCCCGAGGAAGCCATGGGAGAAGTTTTGATAGCATATAGAATGGGTGAACATCAATCAACTGGACTTTCACCGGCAAAGTATTATTGGGGCGAAATTAAAAAACAGGATTAAATTGGTTACATCCAAATGTTAGGGATGAAATGGAACGATCGAATATACGACAAAAAGCAGTGCACGATGAACATAGTCAAATGAGGGAATTTGAGATTGCACAACCGGTATGGGTGCATAATGAAATAAATTCAGGTTGGAGAGAAGGAGTTCTAAAATCCAGAACTGGTAGATATTCTTATTTGGTAGAAAGCAAGGATAGAATGGTATGAAAGCATGCGGATCAACTTCGAAAAGGGGAGGTAGCTAAAGAAATGGAGAAGTCTAGGCCAGTGGAAGAAAATAAAGAAAATATGGAGTCAGAGAGAGAGGAAGAAAATGGAGAAAATATGGAGTCAGAGAGAGAGGAAGAAAATATAAAAAAATAGAGAGTCGGATATAGTTGAGATTTTAGAAAATGTGGAAGATAACGGAAAACTAGAAACGCGGAAATCACAAAGAGCTAGGAAACCTACAAATCGGCTGATTGAGGAGTTGTAAGATCATATGTGTGGGGATATGTTATAAATGAGATATATTTTATATATTATTAATGTTATAAATGTCATATACAAATCAATAATAAATATATATACCAATTGTCATGTGATAGCATACTTGATTTACATACATATTAAATAAAGAAATTGTATAATTGGAAGGTTACATATTTTAGAGATAAATAAATTTATGATAAAATATATGTATTTGAAACCTGGTTGAGGAAATTTCGGTGCGTAAGAAAACCCGCCATGATTATTATCAAATTTATTTTCAAAATATTTGTAACAATCATTGATGATTTGATTGGATGCCAACAAAAATTCGTCCATTTTAGATTCTTCGTTCGGTGCGTCTTTATTTTCGATTATTTCAAACAACTTCGATGATTTGTTCAGTATAGAAATTTTATCTTCGTTCCACTAGTATTATAATAATATTAAATATTTATCAATGTGAAAAGATAAAAACGTCGGCCCCAAAGAAAGAATGGGACAGCATGAGTGAAACAAGTTAATTGTATCTATTTTGTAATTATTATATCTATTCTTGTAATTAAAAAAAATGATAATTATTATATATATCTGTTCATACTCTCATATAACCCTATCCCTATTCAAAATTATAATATTATTAAATAATAAGTAAAATGGTAAAGTAATGATCTGAATTGGGCTTAATTTGTCCTGCCCCACCTGATACCGAACAAAATTAAAGGTTATTTATCCGCCCGACGTAGAATTTGAGAATTCGATATTCAATTTTTATTGTTAGAAATTTGAATTTCATTTATAAACATAAATTTTAAATTTTTATCTTTATAAATTTTTATAAACAAAATTAAAAAAAAAACTGCGTGTTATAAATTTTACTTTCGTTTATAAATATAAATTTTTATCTTTGTAAATCTTTATAAAAATATTTTTTTTAAAAAAACTGCGTAATTTATCCATAAACAAAATTACAACCTCGACCAGGCATCGCTCAATCACTTTCCTTTTTTTTATTTTAACACAAACACTTCACATTGAACTGGCCTGACCAAGAATACATGTACCATTAAAATATAATATTTTTTTTTGTGTTCGAATAAAATTGTAGATTATTACTTTATTTTCTGATAAAAAATTGATTATTAAAAAATCATATTAATAAAATATTATAATAAAAGTATCGTGTTGTTACAAAATAACTGACTTGAAATTCTTAGAAGGGATTCTCGGAGTTAGTTGTTCTTAAATTGTAATTTAAGTGTAAGAAGGAATTTCAAGTAAGGGTATATATTTTTACTTAGCTTTTTCAGTGGTGCTTTAAAACTATGCTCCCCACTATGCCTAAAAAAATAACCCATTTGCTCATGAACTTTCAATTAAGATCACCGCCCATTCAAATTAAATAAAAATGCTTATACAAAAAGAATATAAGTAAATTATACCTAGAAAAAAAAATCACAATACAATGGATAGTACTATTGTGTGGTCAAAATTTATCATATAATATATATAAACAAAAATTTTGTTTTACCTTAAAAACGGAATCACGCCCACTCTTTCGATCTGCGTCACGAGCACCACTGAAAAAGCTAAGAAAAAAAATATACCCTTACTTAAAATCCTTTCTTACACTCAAATTACAATTTAAGAACAACTAACTCAACGAGAATCCCTTCTAAGAATTTCAAGACAGTTATTTTGTAACAACACGATACTTTTATTATACTCCCAAGCCCAATATTTCATCTTGTCTCGTCCTTGATGCCCCGCATGTCTAAAACATGAGCACAAAAGCTAAGAAAAAAAATATACCCTTACTTAAAATCCTTTCTTACACTCAAATTACAATTTAAGAACAACTAACTCAACGAGAATCCCTTCTAAGAATTTCAAGACAGTTATTTTGTAACAACACGATACTTTTATTATACTCCCAAGCCCAATATTTCATCTTGTCTCGTCCTTGATGCCCCGCATGTCTAAAACATAATCTAGCTCCGTTTATCATTGCCATTTCCTACTTCAGATTTCTTTAACGGAAATCCATCTTTAAACCTTTGCTCTGGGACCACGCAGGTCCCTTTTGTGTCCCATCCACCCGCAGCGATTGCAAATGATAATCTCCTCAAATCCTTTATTTACTGACATTCCATTATTTTCCTTGTAACTATTTTTACCATTATTATTATTTTGTTCACATGTGTGGCACTTCACGAAATTTCTGTTCAACCTCATCAATGCATTGATGACTTCTTTCATCTCTTTTACTTCTTGGAGGATCTTCCCGGACCTCTCCAAACAATTTCCAGCCTTGATTTCATCTAAAACATTTTTTAGATTACTTTCCAAGTCTGCTACTTTTTTAACATAAACAGCCAACACTGGAGTGTCCTTTCTAAAATTAAAATACATTTCTGCCAGTACCGCAGTCCCCTTTTCACCAAGAATTTCAATATAATTATCAATAAATACACAATCACCAATATCCCAATAGTAATCAGCTGCTTGCCTAAATCCAATTCATTAAAGTTCTTATACAAAACTTTATAACCCAGATCCTTATAAACGAGAACCTTATCACCAAAACTATGCTCCCCACCATGCTTAAAAAAATAAACCATTTGCTCATAAATTTTTAATTAAGATCACCGCCCAATTAATTCAAATTAAATAAAAATGCTTATATAAAAAGAATATATGTATATTATACCCAGAAAAAAATTCACAATACAATGGATAGTACTAATGTGGGGTCAAAATTTATCATATAATATATATAAACAAAAATTTTGTTTTACCTTTAAAACCGAATCACGCCCACTCTTTCGATCCTGGTCACGGCACCACTGAAAAATCTAAGAAAAAATATATACCCTTACTTGAAATCCCTTCCTACAATCAAATTACAATTTAAGGACAACTAACTCAACGAGAATCCCTTCTAAGAATTTCAAGACAGTTATTTTGTAACAACTCGATACTTTTATTATAATACTTTATTATTATGATTTTTTAATAATCAATTTTTTATAAGAAAGAAAAAGTAATAATCTACAATTTTTATTCCAACACAAAAAAAAATATTAATATCACGTGTTCTTCTATGGTAATTATAATCCAATCAACCTTATTTATTTTAGTTGATTATCATTATGCAAAAATTAATATACATTCATATATAAAACTACGACACTGACTTGGACAGTGGAGTATCCATAGAATTATTTTAAAAAAATCTTAGTAAATTTATTTGCTTAAAATAATTTTGTGCATCAATGGTACTGTTTTTATTAATTAATGGGCGCCATGGCTAAGCAAGAATTTAAATATTCCTTTACATTATAAAAATAAATATTTATATATGTATGACGTTTCAACCCCCCCCCTCCCTTAGATTTTTCTAAAATCTTTATAGTTTGCATATATTATAACTAAAAATATGTTTAGCCTTCAACTCCAAACAGCGATGCGCGGGCCACTAAAGGTCGAAAAAATAATGCATTTTGGGTAAAATTCTCTCCCTTTAATTTTAATATCTTTGGATATAATTGAGCTAAAAGTGTCATTTATTAAATTTATTTATATAGCCTAATGGTAGGCCTTTTAAAGATATATAATGTTAAATATTGATAAAAAAATTAAACAAAAACCGGAAATGGTAATAAAATCATCGGTATTTTTTTCTTACAAAAAATTTTAAAAAGATCTGATAGGGGACCGGTTTAAAATCGTTTTGATGATTTGTCATGGAACATCAAATATATTTTTATTATATTATTCTAAATATTTTTTAATATATATTTATTTAAATTATATGCCATATGAGATAAAATAAATTTTACATTCAAATATTTTTACTTTTAAAATAAAAAAGGGTTAAATAAAAGTATATCGTATCTAAAAACAGATACCGATACCTCTAGAATATAGATCCTTTTTATAAAAGTATATCTAGATATATATACGATATGTATATGATATTTTTTATAGATACAACTTTAACAACTCTGATTAATATAAAATATCAAAAACTTACTTTATATGAACATTGAAAGTTAACTCATAAAAAAATATCTCAATATTTTTAGGTAAAGTATAAGCGTACAAAATTAATTTTGATTTTGTTTAATAGTTAATGGCATAGAAAAATACTTTTTCATAAATCTTTTTTATTAATTAAAAATTATATAATATATTTGACCTTGATAAACATTCTAAATCGTCAATTATATTTAAATATTTTTTTTTATACCACATTGTAACAATTATATTGACTCTCTTAGCAAAAGCTGTCATAAAATCTTAAAATAACCGCTAATTTATTAGAGTTATGTAATATACTTTTAAAATATAAAAGCGACAAATAAATGAACTCTAAGATATAGCATATCTAAATTGGGGTAAGAGGGAATCCCACTTAAACTTTTGTGTTATTTTTAACATCTGTGCTATGATGGTTTAAAAGGTTTTTTTTTAAAAAAAAGCTTAATTGTATACATGTATTTTATGTATATAAAGGGTCAATAAAAAGAGAATAAATTACTTGTTTTGCAATATTAATCATTATATCTTTAAACCCAATATATCGCCCATCGGTAAAGGGTGGAAAATAGGTGCCACCATATATCGGTTTCAAGGTAGGTGTTAGCCAAACGCTTAAAGGCCAGCCACCATGTCCTGTCATAGTCTAATGTATAACATGTTAATACAATTTATGTAATATTAAGATATATATAACTTTTCTCATGAAAATTAAAATCTTTAAAAAAGCGAAATTTAGTTCAAAAAGAAATCTTAGAACTTATTTACTCTAATAACAAGTCTAGAGTGATAGTCAAATGAAAAGGGTTTAAGAATCATATTGACTCAGTAGTTAACGATTTAAATCATCAATAACACATGAATCATAGTTATTCAGAAAAATATCCCTAGCAGAAATATCCAAATTATAAATCTTCAAAAAAGGGACAGACATATGATGAGTAAGAAAATTAGCTATAATGACCGGATGTGGGATATGATTCGTAATTATATAAGAATGGCATGACTATGGTTAGAAAAATTTTGATTTCAAAAACTCTTTTTTTGAATACATAAGATATTTCAAGAAATCAATGAAACAAAACATTCTTAAATTCCAGAAAGAAATAATTGTCTGTTTTTATCAGGAATGAGAACCTGAACCCAAATCCTCGATATTTCACTGAACCCAAGCCCGAACCTTTTTTTAAATTTAGGGTTCAGGGTCCAAGCTTTTTTAAAAAATATTTTAAACTTTCATTTTATTTATTTTAAATTATAGTGGAGACCGGGGTAATAAGGAGACGTGGCTTTATTTTCTAGAGTATTAAACTCTAAGGGATAATTTTTACAAACTAAATAATTATATAATGCATATGCGGCTATAATTTTTAATTCTATCAGACAGCAAGAAGAATTTTTATAATGCATTATATGATTTGTACCTGCAAAAGTAACTTTTTAAATTTTTAGGGTTAATAAAATTTAAAGTATTTTATCATTTTTAACAAATAATATCTCATTTTGTTCAGATCTATTAGTTTTAAGGTAGGTTTAAATTTTAAAAATACATATCTAATACTTTTTTTCAAAATTTTATTTTTTCTAAAATTTTTTTTGGGAATGAGTGGACCCTATCTAAGGATGAATGAGCCTTTGCTCAAGACTATTATAAGCTCTGCTTAATTTTCCATACAAAAGTTATATATTTTTTTATTAGAACATATTAAATGATTTAAAGCATAAAGGTAATATATAAAATCATTTATAAACAAAAAAATGGGAACATTATTTATAATCTTTGCAAATAAAAAAAGGATAAAAATTGCAATAGCTTCCAAGTGACTACTTTATATTTATGACATTGAAACCAGTCTTGATTGTTATGATGCTTGTATATTTTTTTACACAATAAACAATTGTTTTCCTTACTTATAAAATTTTTTGATTTTTTTCTTTTATTTGTTCTCACCATGGCTTTTTTTATAAAGCAAAGTTAAAATAGCAGAATATTGTTTATTTTTGCTTCCAGGCTTTTTTGTAAATATATTATTTTAAGCTAATAAAAAAAATCCCCCATCCCCTATGCCCATAAAATGTGTAAATATGTGACTTCACTATAAACAATAATTTAAAAGAAAAACAAGGAGAAAAGTTTAAAATAAAATAATTTTTTTAGAAAAACGCCTTACCAAAGACCCAAAGTATGTGGAACTAGTCCTCTAGTAAAATTTTTATTGTAAAAACACATTTGATTATTTTTATATTTATTAAATAAATTTTATATTATTTTGCATTTCATAAATGTTGTCTAGTTCATATTCCATTTTATAAAAATATATATTTCTCATTTTCAATATGAATTTCACACCACGCAAAAAAGGGAGTTATTTATTCAAACGTATCGTGATATTGACTCAAAAAATAAAAACTAAAAAAATTTTGTCCAAGCAGATTCATCGAAAGACAAGAGTCGGTGAAACTCTTTATTGAACTATATGATGTTGTCTTTGCAGCACTAGAATTTTATATATCAAGCAAGGAAAAGGATTCAGCAGATGCCGAAAATCTTTTGCAGGCTATTATTAAGTCACAGTTTTAAATTTCAATTCAATGTGTTTATTTTTTATTTAATTATACATATGATTTTCGCAAAATGCTACAAAAAATTGATTTGGATTTAAGGGAGATTATGAATAGAACAAAGGATATTGTTGAAATATTAACAAATATCAGAGAGAATGTGGATGAAAAATTTCATGAAATATATGAAAAAGTAAATGGATTGCTAATATGTTTGGAATTGAAATTTTTAAACCTAGAGTAGTCTCTAGACAATCCAATTGATCACATATTGATGCATCTACGATTGAGGATAAAATAAACATTTTTATTCCCCTTATTGATACATTTTTGTTTCAATTAAAAGAAAGATTTATTAGTCATAATTATATTTTAAAAAGCTTTTATTTTCTTTTGCCGGTTGAGTCTAAACTGTTGATTACACTTGAAACACGAGAGAATATTAAAAAAATCTCAGTTTTATGCTGATGATTTAGTAGGTTCATATGATAAGTTAGTTTGTGATGTCGAATTTTGGTATAAAAATCTTGACAGAATAGGGTATTCTTTGAGACCAAAAATGCTCTGCAGGCCCTTTCCATGTGTAATTGCATTTTGGATTCCCTGCCTAATATCAAAACATTATTAATTATTTTAGTTACCTTGCCAATTAGTACCTGCACTAATGAAAGGTCTTTTTCAACTTTAAAAAGGTTAAAAACCTATTTAAGAAACACAACAGGTGAAAAATATTTAAATGGATTATCCCTATTGAATATTTATAAGGAGATTATTTTAGATAAAAATTTGATTCTAGATGAATTAGCAAAATCTCAGAGAAAAGTAGATCTCTCTTTAATTCAAATCAAAAAATAGCAATAAAATTTTATTAATATATAATCAATTTTTTTTTGTAAAAAAAGTATTATTTATGAGATAATATCATCATATTCTTTAAATACCATTATTTACATAAGAATTACATATATTTTATATAATTGTAAAAATTACTTTTTTTGAAATAGTCTTTATACATAATAATTTTTAATATTAAAATCTGTATTATATAAAATATTAACATTTTGAAAATATTTAAATTAATAAAAATATAAATATGAATAAATAAAGGAATGTAAAATATATAATAAAATACCCTAAAATTTTGTTATATGAAAATATAAAACAATTTTAACAAATCCAAAAATGTAAGTAATTAAGTGTTCAAAAAAAATGGGAGGTTGGCGAAGCTCCCCCAAAAAATTTTAAACCCCCCCCCCCCCATGATAAAATCCTGGCTACGCCACTGTTGCAAATTAGAAATATGTTCTTTAAAAAAAGAAGTAAATGGTGAGATGAATTTTAGGGTTTACACTGCAATAATTTAAATATTTATAATATAAAACACATTTTAATAAAAGAACAAAATAATTACCTGAACAAATGTCATATAAGTTTTATCAATGTCTGGTCTTTCTTCTCTATCCACCTTGATATTGATAAAATGAGTGTTCATTATTTTTGCTATTTCAGGATTTTCAAATGATTCTCTTTCCATAACATGACACCAATGGCAGGTAGAATAACCAACTATAAGATTTCAATTCAGTAATATACATAATTAATATTTTTTTCAAAACTTGACAAGAATATAATTTTCTCTTTAGATTTTGCTTCTTGAAGTGCCTCCCTATCCCATGCATGCCTATATTTTAAATATGGATGAATATAAATTATATTTTACCAAAGAACTGGATTAGTTGCATGTTGTAATAAATAAGGTGATTTTTGATTAATTAATTTATTTGTGTTACTCATGTGTTTAATTGATAATTTCTTAACAAAATTCCTAAGCATAAACTAAAATTTGAAATTTTCATTCATTCGCCAAAATGCAATTATCACCCACTAGGTTGTCATGCATCTTCATTATAGATCCCATACATAATGTTTACCCGTTTTATTGACGGTACCACTAAAGAGTGGATGATTTAGGAAGGTTCACAATATTCTTCTGCTAGTAAGGGTAAACGCAGGCATAATATGGGGCGTTGCTTTATACTACTTAGGAATTCGATGGCATTTTTAAACGCATGCAGGCAATATATAATAAGCTTTCGATCAATGGGATGGCCAGGTTATAAATATGGAGGGAACAACAGCAATACAGCCAAGACAGAGGGCTATGGAAATGCTTAGCTGTTCACCAGTCGGAGGTCCGATTGGAACTGGGGATGGCTTCCAATAATTCGTAACCTTAGTTTGCATTTATTGGGATTGTCCTCAAAGGGCCTGTTCGAAATTAGTTATTCAAAGAAACGGGGGATCAGAGGAGCATCCTAGTCTTTTTGAATGCTGGAAACAGGAAGACAAAGGGTGGAAGGCCATTGCTATCCCAGAAGGCGAAGGTCTGTGAAAGGTCAGTATTAAAGGAGTGGGTCCAAATCGATAATTGATTGAGCAGCCAGATGAGATGAGATAAAGGCTGATAAGGATACTTCTATCGGGGACCGGATACCAATACCACCAGACTTGCGGGAAGGATGGCCTGAAGCCAGGATGAATTGGAAAATTTTAAGTTTAATATATTTTCAAGGAGGCCCTTGATTTGGGTTTCATGGATTTATTTTCAAATTTAATATTAAAAATATTACAATAAGATAAATTTTTATAAATATCAACATACCATATCTATATAAAAAAAAGAATTTTGGGATCTACGGCTGTTTGAAAAATCAAATTTTTATGTTTCAGATAATCTTCATAATAATAACCAAGAAAATCAATAAGCGAAGGTGTTTTTTGCTTTTGCATTAATATTAGTATGGTTACTTCTAGTTGTGTAAAGTAATGTCAAAAGTAACGTCATTATATTTTTTGAAGAAAAGGAAATGCAATCGTTACCTACTTCTAGAGGTAACGAGTAATGGAAACGTATTTCTATTTTTTGAGTAACCATAACGCAATACTTGTGACTTCAGATTTGTTCTTAAAATTATTTTAAAAAGCAAAACCTTTTATTGTCCTATAAATACTTTTAGTTATTTTTTAAAGTCGAGTTTTTGATTCATAATTCTTATTTTAAATTCTCATTGTTAAATTATCAGTGGAATGTTAACAGTGGCGTAGCTACGGGGGTGGTTTTCGGGTTGGACCCCTCCCAGAGCAAATTTATTTTTTAGATTATACGTTCAAAAGACTTAAAAGTGACTTTATATCAAATAAATACCATTAATATTTATATTTTTCTAGTTTTGATGTATATGGAAGGATATTATATTACTATTGAAGTTATTCTGGATAGTATTATTATAAAGTCTTTGAGAATAATCTACTAAATTATAATAACATATTATTTATGCATTTAAAAAATATATTTATTATATATTATCGAAGATATGGTTATGATTTTTAGGATAAACCCGGCCGAAGGCCCGTTTAAGGGGGTCTAGGGGGCGAAGCCTCCCAGGTTTTTGTATGTATGGACCCCCTCTAAGGAAAATTCCTAGCTACGCCACTGAATGTTAATCTAATTAATATTCATTCAAAATTCAAAGTAAAGGATAATAATAATATTATTATTCTATTTTATAATTTATTTAAGAATATTATATTCATAGTACTTACTTTTTCAGATGTGATTTAACCCTTCCCTGGACCCAATTGGAACATATTTACACCAATAAAGAAAATTAAAAGTACAAAGTCTAGACTTTGTAAATGAAAATTAAGTCCCAGGACAAATATTCTAACCTCAATGTTCGTTCAAACTTAAAAAAGTATATGAAGGTAAAAAGATTAATTACTATATTATTTTAAACATTACTTTTAATAGAATATTAAATCATGGGTATTATAAAATAACCAATAAAAGAAGTATTCTTTTATAATATTTTGAAAAGCTTAATCCTGAAATTAAAATATAAGCAATTAAATTATATTATAGGGCGGAAAGTAACATTATAAACCCTAGATTAACTAAATATTGATATTGGGTCAAAATATTATATTGGGTTTAAACAATATTTTTTATTTCTTGTTTTAGTATTGCTATTGGTTTAACTTCAAATTGTTAATAAATTTAAAGAATAAAATAGTGATTTTAAAAAACTTTTTTAAATAAATATGTATTTTTAAATAAATATATATGGAATAAAACTATGAAGTAATATTGTTTTCAGAACATAACCTTGGTATTTTTCCTGATTCCTTTTTAAATGATAATTCTGATAAAGATAAGAAATTGAAAAATTATCTTTGGCAATCATAATTTCAATTTTTAATGTCTGCTTAGTGAGGGATTAAAAAATGCAATTAAAATTTTAAGATATATTTTTAATTATTGAAGTTGTTATTTTTAATAAAAAATTCAGGAATTAATAATATTTTAATTAAAAAATGATAGACTGTACCCCAAAAATGAAAGATTTTAAGAACATTTAGATAGTAATAAAAAAAATTGAAATCAATCAACTCACACTCATTGAAATACAGAATCCATCGACATTAAAGATAAAATTGGCACAATCAGCAGTTGATAAACAGTTTTTAATTTTGTAATCGAAGAATTACAACCATTTTCAATTGTAGAAACTGCATTTATGAATATTATCAAAAAATTGAGTGGTAACGATAGTGTGCTAAACATTTTTAAAATGACAATAATATCAATCTATAAAATATATATTTTATAAACCGATGATAAGCTGACCAAGAATCCACAGTTGTACAGACAATTTTTGGGATATACAATTAATCAACTTATTTGCCATGTTGTCATATGCTTTGTTATTTTTTAATACGAGGGTATAGGCCTAAACATCACATTTTTAGTTTAAAAAGTACTATATCTACTTTTTACGCTATTTTAGAATTTTTTATGTATCTCTATTTCCACGAATAAAAAATATTGGTATAAAAATATGACTATAATTTTAAATATGTATATATTTTATTTATATTTATTGTATCAACAATAATAACATTTCTTTAACGTCATCTCCAACTTTAGAGCAACGGTCAAAAAGTATAAGTTTTGCCGCACTAAAAAATTGTTCAAATGAGAATGCAGTGTTAATTTAATATACATATTTTTTATATTAGAAAAATCATCAAAAAATTTTATTTGAATATTTTTAGATAGAGGATTTCCAATAGTATTATTTATTTCTCATTGATTTCAAAAAAATCGTCTAAAGTAAGTGGCGTTTTTGATCTGGCCAGGGTATCCTGGTTTAATTTAGTATTATTTAAGGTTACCTATCAAGTTGCCCTTTGGATTCAGTTAAGAGCAATAAATAGCAGCTATGTTTAACATCTAAATAATAATTTATAAAATATCATTATTAAATAGATGAGTCTGATGTAGCCAGTTGAAATATACCATGTTTGGACTGAGCCAGAAATCAACTTTCAAATAAACTCATTTAGCTCAAAATCTATTAGAGATACTGATTCAAATCTTATTTTAAAGTTTGAGCTACACATTGATAATTTATTTAATATATTACCATTAAATTCTCAAGTTGAAAAGCTACTAGTCTTGTTTGATGATAAAACATTTGGCATATCTTTTTTATCGAGATTAAAATATTTAGGTAATTTAGGAAAAGATATGGAAATTACTTTGTCTAAATGATATGTAGCAAAATTATCTCCAATATCCAGGGATGCGAACCCGACAAAATTTTTGCCCGGGTTCGGTTCGGGTTCGGTTCGGGGTATAAAAAAAAAGGTGGGTTCGGTTCAGGGAAATATTTTTGAACCCGGGTTTGGTTCGGGTTCGGTTCGGGTTCAAGAATTTTTGAGTTGATAAAAAAAATTCTATATTTAAATCATAATAAAAAACTAGACATAAATTTGATATAAAAAATAAATTTTTTATTTTATTTATAGGCAAATATAGTTAAAAATACAAAGCATATAGTCATGTATCAATTTTAAAAATTTTATTTAGACGTATTAGCATAATATCTTCCGAGAGTTGTTCACTCATCCTCGATCTATGTGGTGAAAGAATGAATTTCAAATGTGAAAAAGATCTTTCAACGCTAACCTATGTTAAATGTATATTTATATGTGAAAATATGATAAATTAACTTGGGTTGCAGGAACAGCAAATAAGATTTTAGATAAAATATATAATTCAGGGTGTTCCAGCTTAGCAGACTCCCAAAAATGCAAAATATTTTCTTTTTTATCTAATCTTTTATAATCGCTAAATCCAGTAATTATTGTAAGGATTTATATTGTTTATATTTAAATATTCCATAAAATAACAATTTTAATATAAATCTAAAATAATTAATTTACTAAGCTTTTAATTAACCTTGTATCTTGGGTCCAGGTATATGGCACCTAAGAGAATTTCGTTCTTTATAAACCTTTCTTCTCTGTTCTTAAGACAAGAATATAGTAATTGAGCAAAATGGTATGGATTTTTTTCCAGTTCGATGCAGCATCTTAACCATGCTGCATAAAAATCTGTCAGTGTTAACTGTTCAGATTGGAATTGTTTGGTTGTGATTTTTAGCGGTTTTAAAATTTCAACAATCGTTATTATCTCTTTCCAATCTTCAGTCAATAAATAATCAGATTGCTCTGAAAAAAAATCTTCGATATTGGGTTTTAGTAAAATCAGCCTTTCTAACATATCATGGGTTGAATGCCATCTGTGGCAATCTAACACAGGCTTAGGGAGTTTCATATTTTTTAATAACTTTTGGTAAGTGGGATGTCTTAATTTTAAATTTAGGCTCCTAGCTTTGGTGATAATTTTATAGCATCTTGAAGTGCCAGCTGAAGTGTGTGAGCTGCACACCGTACACTATAAATCGGATAGGATATAATAGTTGATAAAAAAGTATTTTGTATATCATCAATATCATATTTATATACATTTACATTCATATTTTCCTCATCTGCTGTGGGCTGTTTTATTAATAGTTCTGGATAAATTTTCTTTGTTTATAACCAAATTGAGCCCAGATAGGAGTGGATTTATAATTCTTTGAAATCCCGAATCTTCAATAATTGATAAAGGCCGGCCATTTACAGTAACAAGTTCTAGTATAGAACTCATCAAATCATTAGATGATATATTTATACTTATATGCTTTTTTGGAAAAAAGGTTTCTATATTAATTTTAGGTTTTTTTTGCCAATAAAAATTCCTGATATTTGGTTTTTTCATTTAAATAATTTAAATATTCATTGTTGTGATTTCTTTCCAGGTGTCTTTCTAAATTTGACAAGTGATTACCAGACATTTTTACTTTGCAATATGAACATATTATTTTTTTTCTATTGTATTAAGGGTAAAATGTTTATCAAATATGACTTTATCTTTAATCTTAAATCTATAAAAAGAGAACAATTTTTTTAAATAGCAATGATTTCAGAATTAAAAAAGAGATATTTATAAATTTAATTTCATTTATAATATGCACTTCATTAATATCTTGTAAAAATTAATCTGAACCAAAAATAAATGATTAGCATATATAAATTTTAAAATCATTTTAATAAGTTCACAAAAACTGCCCTACATTTAACAATTTTTAAGTTAGATGTTTAGAATTTTTTAAATTAACAATATAATAATTTTTACTTTGATTTGTTAACCATTTTTTTCTAATTAATAATCTTTAAGAATAATAAGATAAAAATTTAAAAATAAATGGCGTAAATTAATTCAATTGTTTAATTTTTTAACACTCCAATAGGAATCGAGAATAAATTAAAAAATGGCATAAATGAATTAAGTTGTTTAAAATTTATTAACACTTCATTTAATTGGAAATTTGAAAATATAATATTTGTATTTACATATATTAATATATGATTTTAAATAATACACTGAACCCGGTTGAACCCGGGTTCAAATAAAATTCTTGGGTTCGGTTCGGGGTTTTGAAAATTTTATAAATGGGGTTCAGGTTCGGTTCGGGTTCAGAGTTTTTTTTAAAAACCCGGGTTCACTTCTCCGGGTTCGGGTTCGGTTCGAATCCCTGCCAATATCAATCTCTATTGTCGACATTTTGAATTATTTTTAAAAATAGATTTATAATGCATATTTTTAAATAAAAATTTCAAAATTAAACTAAATAAAAAGATTATGAATTTAGAATTAATTACTTTTTATTTGTATTTATTATCTAAAATTTAAATTAGGGAAGTAAGACGCTACTTTCTAAATTATTAGCGAGCTATAGCTATTTTTTTTAAAAAATGTAACGCGCTACTTTAACAACACTGACTATAACATTTCTATTTTACCAAAAATAAAATTAAACTTGATTTAAAAATAGTGTCCGTGATACTAAGAATTTTACCGATATTTTTTTTTAAAACTTAAATATAAGCATAAATATTTTTTTTAATGTTAACCGAAAATTTCGCTGCAGAAAATTTTAGATTATTTTTTCTTAAGCATTTTGAGGGCTAAAAAATGATTTATATTTATCCACCAATACACCAAGACAGGATAGGGCTAGAATTTAAGACACATAACTCCGAATCGAGTTAGGGCTTCAAAATTTTAATTTGCATAAAATTTACATGCTTAACCATCCTACAAATAAAGATTTTTCAATTAAATGTATCAGAGCTTTTAGTTAATTATACGTTTTTATACTCGTAATTACGATTTAAAATATATTGTTTTTTTTATCCAATTTACTTTAACTTTAGATTTGATTTGTGGCCAAAATTGGTCTAGCAATTAAAACATGACTATTAATGTATAATATGGCCTAACCAAATTCGTAAAATAAATTGATTTAATTGCTGGACTAGCAGACATATAAAAATCATTTTATTAGTTAACTCAAAAGAATTACCGAGTATTAAAATAGTTCTAAATGTTGAATAATTTATTAATATTATTAATCACCTTTAAAATAATTTTATCAAAAATAACGTAAAATATTTTAAGTATAAAATTCAGCTAATATTGTTGAACTAATATTTATATTAATTTTTTTATAATCGCATCTTGAATAGTAAGCCAAAAATGCATCATATAAAAAATTGGAACCAAAAACGTATTTGCTCTTTTCACTTGTAATTATGACAATTTTTGTTTATGAAGGAAAGCCTTCCATTTAAGTTTTTAGTATTTTATTGGTAAATAATTATATCACAATTAGTATTCTGCAAGACCCGGTCCAAAAGTCCGTTAGTTGGGCTAAAACTTTAACATGGACTTGGTTAGGAAAGTACAAAATATTTACGGGTCGGGAGGGCTGAAAAGCTTTAATAAAAATATTAACCGGTCAGGCCGATCTCTGACTACCCTATTTAAATTTTTGTAAATAACGCAATGTGTGTAATTTTAGATCCAAGTATTATGCATAATCATCAATCATGATTTAGGATCATTTCTTTAAATTAGGGCAAATTCATCATTAAATTATAAAGGATTCAAGATTTTGACTTACCACAATTAACGTATGAATGCTTAGAGATTTAAATCCAACATCCGAAAAAAAAAAGAGCCATTGGCGATTAAATGCCATTATTCGGGCTATTATACCTTACATTACATGCATCTAATTCAATAGGAGACTTAAGTCTTTTTGGTTAGATCAAGACCCCCCATTAGTCAATCCATCTATTTTTAGTCAAAACACGTGCTTGTAGATTTAGCCGAATTAACCAAATCAGCAACACTAGACCAAAACTAAACTAAATATAGTTTGCAAATGTATAATACCATCCTGAATTTAGCTTTAGAAAATTCAGTTTATTTTTAAATTCATTCATTTAATGTAAAACATTAAATTTGGTATTAATTACATACATTTAGTAATATATAAATAAATATTGCAAAAAATAAATAATAAATATATAATACTCTATAATTTAATTTTCATTCATATAAAGATTAGCGCGTCGTTCTATCTATAAAGACCCTTGAGGCGACGTACCTTCGCCTTTCGTTACTTTAAATCTATCTTTAAACGAATCTAAATTTTAACAAAAAATAATTATAAATATTCCATATAAAATAATAGCTCGGCGTTTATCAATATTCATTCAAACTTTATAATCCCTATTATAATCGTTAATTATGTTGATGGGCATATTTATTCAAGATTATGGATAAGCGGCCATAGGGATCGATGGTCATATCCATTAACTTTATGATGTATTGAGTTAATTTGTCTCAAAATTGATCAAAATGTGTATATTTATTCGATTGATAGAGGGTCCATGTCAAAAGAGCAAGGAAATGGAGATTTTAAGGCCGACCCTTTTCAATTTCGATAAAAATCTGTAGGCGTGTTATATATATTAATATCTGAAACAAAATTTTAGCTCATTAGCAATTATATAACATGATATTATGAGGAGATTAAAGATATATCGGCTTTTTATCCTTTTACTAATGATAAATAATTAGTTTTGTATTAAATTAGTTCGAATATAGAATCTAATATAAATAACTAAGGCAATAATTGATAATTATGGGCGAAACATCAGAATAATTTTTTTTTAAATATTGTCATCCTATATCCCATTTGAAAACTTAGAAGAATATATTATGAGTTTCAATTTTTTATTTTCTATTATTCTTTTACTAATTTTCTAATAATTTCTTCAATAATTAGGCTTTCTAGATAATCATTGAAAAAATAAACTAACGTATAATATATAAAAATGGTATAGAGAGTAATAAAAAACATTTTTCTATCTTTGTACCTTTAATTCCCATTATCTCGGGTATTATAATTGCTAATGAGATAAAATTTAGTTTAAGATATTACTAGAACATATATAACGTGCCTACAAATTGTTATCGAGATTGAAATGGGTCAACTGTAAGGTGCTTGATTTGACATGGAATGGCCCCATCCCAAATTGTAAGAAAATTGTTTTTAGTACCTCTTTCTACTCAATTTTTTTACACTTTTTTGTCTAAAGAAAAATTTATGCTTTCAAAATACTGATATTTTATATAAATATCATTCTTAAATTCTTAACATTATTCAGAAAAAAATTGGAACTCAAAAGTTTTATTTAGTAAATATAAGAAACTAATTCAAAATAATTTTTAATGCACCGATTAGCCAGGTAGTACAATAGTCATTTAAAACAGTTCACCAATTGAAGACACAAAAAAGTATCTAAATATTACAACAGCGGACGATGATTATGATAGCAAATAGCTACAAAACAACATGTAAATCAAATCTTTAATAATTCTAAACCTTGGCCTAGCATCTACCAAGCCCCCCCCCGCACCCAATTTTATAGAAAAATATTGAGTCATGTGTAAAGAGACAGATAATAAAAGTTCTCTGTACTAAAATACGAACTCTTTAAATAAGAGAGTTAATTTACAAAAATTAAACAAGTTATCTATGATATGATCTAATTACAAATACAAATATCAAACAGATTGATTTATAAAAAGGTTCTTGTAGAATGAAATAGAGAGCCATAGAGGTGAGTACAAGAGCCTTTAACATTTGGGAAAAATTAAATATAGAAGTTAAAAATGTAATGGCCGGAAAATTCTTATAAAAAATTTAAAAGGCAATGACGGAATTTTTGAAAAACTTTAAGGGGCCAGAAAATTTGTGGAGACCTATAATATATATTAATTGTGGGTTACACATTGTTACTAATTTTTTTAATTAAAAGCAATTTTTAACCATTTTATCAGTCATGATAGCCATTTATCCCCGGTCTTCTGATAAAATAACGATCAAATAAAGACTATAACAGAATTTAATATCTTTTTAGAGCCCTCTAAACACCTCTAAGCCAATGGCACTGACCCCCTCCCCCTGATTACTAAATATTTGGGCGCTTATTAGTTAAAGTTTTGAAACGTAAAATATTTTTCATTGGATGAGCGACGTCAAAAAATCGTAAAATATTGCACAAAGAATGGCAAAATTAAAGATTTTTAGAGGTAATTAAATTTTTCCATAAAAATCTACAAAAGATTAAAAATTTGATCAAAAATTCTACTTGAGTCTTCTCAAAAAATCTTAAAAATCAAAATTCTAATTTTGATATTCAGAAAAAATGATTTTAATATATATATATATAAAATTCATACTTATGTCTTGTAAGCACTTTTTCAAGCTGATTACTGTTGATGAATAAGTGACACCACATATTATTATTGTGTAGAAAAACAATGATATTAGAGTACAATATAGTGCCGAGATTGTGAGGATATTAAAATTAAATTTATTGAAATATGCCTTAAAAAATATAATTATTAATTTTTCATAAGCAAAAAAATTTTTTTTAATTGTATATTTTAAATTTACCAGTAAGACAGCGAGCAAATGAGTCAAAAATACCAATATCACTTTGGAATAATGTTTCTTGTCCAATCCAATATAAAAAATAATGGTCCAACATATATTTAAAAATATGAAGATCTGAGCTGATAAAGCTATAAAATATATAAAAAAAATTTGTGAAGCGCTAAGCATATTAGAAAAGTACCGCCAGGCTCAGTACTAAGCTATACCTATAAAATCGTGATATTCGGGTCGAAATTTACGAATAACAAATTGAGTACGAATAATAATAAAAAATTCTTAGATGAATAATTAATTAAATAATTAGTAAATTTTAGTAAAATATCCAAATTAATAGTTAATTTTAGAATAAATATGTGCAAATATTAGTAATTTGATTTGTTGTTTTAAAAAAAAATAAAGTAAATTCTAATCAAATATTTTGTTTATTTCTAGGCATTAGCCGTAATAATTTTTTGATTGTTGATAGTGAGTGATATTTTTGTTTAAAAATTTACTAAAATCAAATTAAAATTAATTAATATTTATGGTATAAGTTTATACCTTGAGAAAGAAAGGAAATAAAATGATAAGGTCTCTTCGACATTTTGCGAGTGTTTGTTAAATATGATTATCAAAAATGGCATGATTCATAAAAGAATAAGGAAACATTTTATAAAAAAATGGGTTTTTTTCCCCACAAATTTTTTATAAAATAATTCTTTCTCTTTCTTTCTTTCATGAATTATGCAATAAAATGTAAAATTTTTATCCTTTCTACTGAGAAATCAAATAAGATATGTGTTAAAAAAAAATTTTTAATTCTTCGTAATTAATATTTTCAAACATATTACTTGATTCGTAAGAATACGAATTTATCAATTACTGGATTATAAAAGAAATTTATTACGGCCCGATAAAAATTTTAACCAGAATAATATTAAGTGAGCGATTTGGCAAAAAGAGGTCCAAACCTTTATGTTATATATGAGCAAAATCTTCAGGCTCTTAAGAAAATTTAATTAGATTAAAAAATTATCTTTTTAAAAAATAAACGATTATATAATATAATAAAAATTACACGAATATATATAAAAATAATTATATTTTCTATTTTTTTGGAAAGTTTTAATAAAAAATCTTCAAAGATTTAGATCCCAAAAATTTTTCAAAGAATGCTCAAACAAGTTTCCTGATCAAATTTGAGGCCGTATCCTGGTTTCAACCTATTTTTGTTTAGCCTAGGCCAAACAGCTTTTGAACTAGGACACCCTATTTTAATTTGTTTTAAGAATTTGATAGAATTGTTATTTTTTGTATTTTTGATTTATTTTCCGTTTTTTTTCTTTCTCTTAAATTGAACCAAAACACACCCTGAAGATCACAAAATTGATAATTTTCTTTTTAAAGAAGATCAATATCATTTTTTTATGAAATGATTTTTCTATGCATAAAAATCATTGAAGATTTATTTATAAAGATCACCCCCCCCCCAAGGATTTAAAATGTTAGTTAAAATTTGATCAAAAATTTTGTTTGAGAGTTCTCAAATAAATCTTCATTTCAAACAAAATAAATCTTTAAAGATATTATTTTCAGCATTTCAAACAAAATAAATCTTTAAAGATATTATTTTCAGCATTTCAAACTCTAAATTTTACATTACAAAAGAATATAAAATAGACTTGGCCGGGATCGCAAAATTTTCCCAATTTACCAGCCTGGCGTGGAGATTTTTCAAAAATAATTTTTTGACCTCCAGATTTTATATTTTTTTTAGGCTCAGCTCAAATTAAAAAAAATATCTGGTCATTCTTAAATAATTTTAGATATTTTTTTGAGACTGGTTATAATAAAAGGAAATTGAAAATATAAAAAATATGAATGTCGAGATTCATTTATTAATTGATATAATTTAAATCATTTTTTAAAAAAATATTATTTTTATTAATTATATTTTTATAAATGAGGTTCAGCCCAAGTTAGCAATTTTTTATTTATATAAAGCCCATACAATTTTTGCAGGTTTCAGATATGGTTAAGGTCCAACTCGAGGAAGGTTATTTTTGATCATATAATCTGTCAGATTTAACAAGTTTTTAATAAAAATGAATAAATTTTATACCATTTTTAATATATCTTAACCATAAAAGCATTTCTCTCCTTTTATCACATATATTTTTTTAATTTTGAATATATTTAATCCAATTAAAAAATTTCCTTGAATTGGGTTATTATCTCCAGATACATATATATATATACCCTCAAAAATATATGTGTTTTGTATAAGATCCGGTATAAATTTGATATTAGGTTGAATTTCCTATGCAATGTTCTACCAAGTGAACTTACTGTAAATTAGTTTCAGAAAAAAAATGACCTGTAAAAATGAGGATATGAACCCAATGACTGTATTTTTTTATAGGTAATGTATAAATGTATGTACATTAGAGACTAGACTATATGAGCCAAAAAATGGTATGATTTAAAAAAAGAAGCAGGCTTAAATAAAATTATATTTTTTCATATATGGCTGGACCTAAATTTTGAATGCCAAATTGGGCCCTGCAATTCAAGCCAGCCAACAAGAAGCCAGTTTGGCTCTAAAACAATTTTAAAAATTGACCAGACTAGGGTTTGGAGAATATTTTTTTTTAAAATATAGAAAATAATTTTTTTCTTCTTATTTTATCAAAATAAAATGATAATTACAATTTATTTTTGTAAGATAATATAGGTATTAATTTTAGGGTTGTTTCGATATTGAATATTGAATCAGTGAGGATATTTTCAAAAAACAGTTCCAATCCAATTTTATTATTTTTTTGCCATTATTTGTATATATATTTTTTTTTAATTTATACACAATTTTATTAAAATAAAATTAATTAAAAGATCAAAAATCTATTTTGTAATATTTTAAAATAAAAATCAAACTATTTTAAAGGATAGGGTAGCTAAAAAATCTAACGATTGTTGTTAAACAGCTAAATTTATCCAATTTTTTTAAAAAAGATGCACTCAAGATTTTTAGCAAAAGTTAACCCAGTTTGGAGATTTACCCATCAATGGCAGAAAGGTTTTTATATCTATGAGCAAAATTTCAAGACTTAAGTTATAATATTTTACCTAAACTAGTCATTTTTAAAAATCCATTTAACAAAACTACATAAATGAGATGATTAACTTTTGGAGAAAAAATAATAATTAAAAAAAATCATTAAATTTTTTATATTTTTTGGCATTTAAAAGTCAATTTAAATATTGGATTGGTTTTAAATTAATATTGGGTCATTGGCAAAAAAAGTGTGAATCAGTAAAGCCCTAGTTAATATGAATAGGGAAATTTGAATAGTTAGATGTTTTTGTTAACATTAAAATATGAAAGTGTAAAATATAATTTACATTAGAAAATAATTTTATTTTTGGAGATTTATCGTTAGCTTATTGTAATTATGTTCATATTTAGCCATTATTAATTTTATTACTTCATTCACTTTAATAAAATAGCATTTAATTTATATTTTTTGGTAGGTTTAGGTCTATAATAGAATTTGTGGATTCTGGACTTAAAATTTTAAAAATATTTCAGGCTGAGTAATTTTGGCTTTCATTTGCACCAAAAAAATTGTATTTGCAGGACTTGCTTAGAGAAATATAATTATATTATAAGTCCAGTTACATTTTTTGAGTCTAATTAAAAAAACAATATAAACATGGCCATAAATAGAAATTGTTTGGGCACTAAAGAGGCATATTGTGTACTTCAATTATAAATAAGTGGCAAATGACAAATTAGGAAATTTTATTAAGAAATATTAAACATAATTTAAAGGAAAATTATGAAATATTAATGGGGTAAATTTGTGCAATATTAAGGTTAATTTATCTATAATTCATTTCTAAACATATAAAAATTACTAAAAATTAACATTTTTAATATATTTTTTTGGACCAGTTATGGTTGAAAAAATTAAATAATAGAAACTAAATTCATTTAAAATCAAGCTTCAGAGGATTCTCTAATTTATACCAAATTCCTACTTAAAATTTTATTTAAATTAGCATATATTTATATCTAATAGAGAAATTAAAAACCTTTAACAACAATATATTTGTAAAAAGTCTTATTCTTGATTCCAAATGTTCCTGGTCCCCACAATTCTGATAATGAATTTATAATGGCTAATCCTGATGTTATGATACCAAAACCAGCTCCAGATACTGATAAAAAATTATAATATATAAAAAATAATTCATTACCATAGAAATATTTTAAATTCATATTATTTGTGGTATCTTGATCTTTTAATATTTTCTGAAAACCTTTGATAGATGATCTATGCAACTTAATAATATTTTTTCTGATACTAATATTTACCTGAGGACTCTATACCAAACATATTTCATAGCACCTTGAATAAAAACTGACATGATCATCGCATACAACAATTTATCTCTTAGGGGAACGATCATAAACCACAGCATGGAAGAGAGAAATAGACCAATTAGCCCAAAAATACAACTTTATAGATAATTATGTATATAATTGACTAAATCAAGTTACCTTGCAACAAAAATAATACATTTTACGGGTTCATTGAATATCGATATTATTGAGAAAATGAGTATTGGTCCAAATGAAACCAGTGTTAATCCAATAATATGTAATATTGTCATTCTCTTTCAGCCCAATTCATTTCTTAGCTTATTTATGTCAATCATTTATATTTTAAAAAAATGAAAAAGCTTGCCGCTTCGCCTCTCAGAATAAACGGTCTTATGAACAAATAAAATAACTAAATTAAATCTTCAAACAATATTTATTAAAATTCAAAATTAATAACTATATATTTTTTTTGTGTAAACAACATTTACACACCTAAGGACATGCATACAATGATCTAAGAACTTCTACCCCCAGCAGCGTCTACAAGAGCGGAGGGGGTAAGTATCTATTTTTTATAATGGGGGGGGGGGATAGGAGGTTGGCAGTTAAAGGGGTTAGTCTAATAGTATAAATTATATGTAAATGCCTAGTTTTGATTAAAAAAGTAAAAAATAACATCGATAACATTCAGACACCATAGTTAAACGGCTCGTTTTGAGCCGATTGTTAAATCAATATTTTAGCCAGAAAAATGCTGCATAAGCTTCAAGATTTCGATAATAGATGTCCAAACCTTTGTTCCTTCAACAAAATCTTCAAGCTTGTAATATTATTGAGCCGTTTAACCAGTGGCGTCGCTAGGGGTAAAAAATTTGAATAGCCCAAGCAAAAAAAAAATTTTTTAATGGCTCCTTAATATCCACTTGAACAAAAAAAAATTTTTTTCGATTTCCCCCTGAATGATTTCTTTTATAATTCCATTAAATAATATATAGATTTAATTTTATTATTTAGAAATTAATAAGACTATTTAAATTTTTATTAAATGAATACTATAATAATTATTAAATTAGATTAATACATATAAATTATATTTTCACTATGTCAGCTTGCAATCAAATTCTGTATAATATCATTAACTCACTAAATATTATAGCTTTAACAGTTGAAGTTTAATTGACTTTTATTATTTAAATTATTATATAACCCAATTATAATCTTATATTATTTGAAAATTAACAACAATTTATTATTGTAATTAGCCGCGTTCAAAATGTCTAATCAACTGTATATTTATTTTAAAATTTATTATCATACCTATACTTAAAAGTATTTTCAAGGTCCAGATAAGTATAAGAGATTTCTTTATAAAAAGTAAGTAGACATATAGTTTATAATCCTCTACTTTATACAGTCAACACTAAGACACCACCAATGATAATATCTATTAATAGAGAATTGGAGTTAAAAATAAAGGAGTTAATTAACATGTATTTTGATGATAAATTTGGAGTATTAGAGATTTTGCAGTGAAAATTTGCAACACACAAAGGATACTTTTGATATCAAAGAATGCCATTTGGGCTCTTTTGTGCATCTACATTTCAAAGATATATGGATAATTTGTTGAAAAATTGTTTTATAGGGGGTTTATTTTATATTGATGACGTCATTTTGTCAGGTAAAAAAGTCGAAGAGCATTTCATTAATCTACAAACAGTTTTAGAAATGTTACAAAGAGCAAGTTTGAACAAAACTGTAAAGTAAAATTTTAACGAGATACTCTTTCTTTTTTAGGAGTTAACATGATAAAACAGGAATTCAACCAAAACAAGAAAAAGTTGAAGCCATTGATTTATTAAAGATCTTCATGAAAAGGCTGCTCCTTCGCATCAATTGATGAGCAATAAATTTGTTAGACATGGCTCTGTAGAGCAACTTTTGAAGAAATTAATACGTTATTGGCAAGTGGTAAGACATTAATGACATATTTATCTGATTTTCCAAAGCTATTTGAAAAGAACGCTACAGATATGGGTTATGGTGCAGTTTTTTTACATACTTTTTCTAGTGGAATTAACAAACCAATAGCGTATGCAACCAGGTCGCTGATGAAGAAGCTCGCACTTTGTTGTTTAGGATAGAGAAGTTTTATCATTTTATTATAGCGGAAGATTTTGTTAGATCCAATGATATAATATGTCATTGGTTAAATCATAGATCATAAACCATTAGAACGTCTGTTTGGCGAGAAAAGAAATCCTCCTAAAATAAATAATCGTTCAACAAGGATAGGCTTGGAAGAGGTTTCAATACAATTTTGATATTACTTTGTTATAGCTGACGCATTAATTCGATTGCCTATTAAGGAAGATATAATATCGAGAAGCCAAAAATACTAATTATATTAATAATATGGATTTAATGATTTTGTCAGAGGATAGATTAAAACATAAATCAAAAAAAGTTTGGGAACTCAAGCGTTGGAAAACATTGAGAAATTCATAAACCCGAACTATTAAATTAGTAAAATGGCAGTCCGGAAACACTCCGAAGAATTGTCTTAGGTAATATTCACCGAGGTCATTCCGAGATTGAGTGAAATTTTTCCATTATATTGTTGGTGCTCGGATTGTGATAGTGATATAGAGCTGTATGTCAATTTACTGGTTGTCAGGCTCATAAGCCTAAAATAGCGGAAGACTTTGTTATCGGAAATATGTCATGAACCATAGGAAAGATTGCACATAGATTTGGCGGGAGGATTCTTCTTTTTGGTTAGTTTTAGTGGATTCTTATTCAAAATCGGTGGAGGTAGTCTGGGTGGAAACTACGACTATTCTATAATAAGAAAATTGAAGGGTCCGTTCGCAAGATTTAGAGTTCCTAGGCAAATTATTTCGCCCAATTCATTTCAAGAGTATTTAAGTTGTTTTGCCAATAAAAAATATTTTTTCATATTATGTCAACACCTAATTATCCTAAGACAAATGACCAAGTTGAAAGAACATTTGCACACCTAAGGAAACAAATAGAGCTGCGCTGTGAAACAGATTCTGATAATGCTTTAAGAGATATTTTGGAAACACATCGCACGAGTTAATATAGTATAAATGGTTGAAGTCCTGCTAAGATGATGTTAGAAAGACATAAAAAAACCCAGTTTTGAATGGGTAAGGCCGGATGCCCATAATGAAATAGAAAAGTCGCATAATTCACAAAAACACGATTTAAAATGTGAGATACGAGACTTTAAAGATTCGCAATAGATTTGAGTACAGAATGAAAGTCAAGCTGGCGGAAAGGAATGATTAGTTAAGTTCTAATTATTCGTGTATTGTTGATTCGGCCAATCGAATTAATAGGAAACAGCTTAACAGTTGAGGGAACGAGTGGTTTTATTGCAACTTGATATTGTAGAGGCAAAACAAACTACTGAAAGTGATGTTTGATTACAATCTTCAAGTATTGTGCGATGTTCTTCACGATATTGCAAGGTACCAAAACTACTTATCATGGAATGATTTAAATTAATTTAGGGGAATAATATAGTATATTATAATTATTTTAGAATTATACATTATATATATATATATCTCTTTTGAAAAATAAAAGTATTTAAATTCACAATATGGTTATCTCTAATACTTTTATTGTAGACCTATCATAACAATACAATAATATTGGTAAACATCGACCAAATTTATATATTGCATACTGTACTAACTATCTCTTGTAGTTGATCGTAAAGATTATAAAGATTATCTTTTATTGTATGAATAATATTCCCATATGTATATATAATGTATCTATTTCTATATGTATAAACTATATTATTGACAACATATCATTTCTTCAATGTCACACGTCATCATCGTGAAACGTCATCACGACACTTCCCCCCTTTACTAATCATTTTTCATTCCAAACCATCATCATCCCAAATCACCATCTGACAATTACCATTGCTAACCATTTGTCCATTCCCATTCTTCATCATTCACATCTAATTCACCATTGTTCTCCAAACCATTCACCATTGTTAACCATTTGCCCATTGCCATTCTTCATCATTCCCATCCAATTCACCATTGCTAACCATTTGCCCACTCCCATTCTTCATAATTCACATCTAATTCACCATTGTTCTCCAAACCATTCTCCATCTTGTCTCATTCACAGTGCCCATCATTCATCATCATCCCCAAATCACCATTTGACAATTACCATTGCTAACCATTTGCCCACTCCCATTCTTCATCATTCACATCTAATTCACCATTGTTCTCCAAACCATTCACCATTGTTAACCATTTGCCCATTCCCATTCTTCATCATTCCCATCCAATTCACCATTGTTCTCCATATACATTATATATACATATGGGAATATTATTGACAACATATCATTTCTTCAATGCCACACGTCATCATCGTGAAACGTCATCACGACACATACAATCATAGCTTATTTTTAAAATTTATCTCTCGATAATCTGCTACTTTTTAAATTATAAGGGTTAGATATTTTATCAGCAAACTCATATTCATGCCAACAATATACTATTATAATGCATCATTCATTGTAAATGGTGGGGTTTTTAATAATTCATTTTCTAAATAATACCTCTTATACATTATTTTATTAAAGGTGATAATATTGATAATTAAAAATATATGAAGGGCTTTTATAATTTAGAGCTGTAATTCATAATATGGAAATATCACCGTCGAGCGCCTAATATCATATTTTCTAACGGCCCTGGACAGGGTTTTTGAAAATTTTTACTTATGCCAAAATTTTTTTAATTTTAATTTAGCTTATTTAAAACAGTTGCTGACTTAAAGAAATATTACAATTTTTTCTGTTATAATAATAAATTTCAGTATTGTAAACAAAATGATTGCTTAAATATACTTAAATATTGTTTATATTAAAAATTTGGATATGTGCTTGGGCTGGATTTGGGAAAATTATGGGCTTAGGCCGGGCTTGGGAATTTTTCCCTATTAAATATAGGCAAAGTCGGACATATAAAATTGTTTACTGCGAGCCTGGCTGGGCCTGATAAAAAATTAAGGGTCATTTAAATTAATTTTGAGGAGGGGAGCGGGGGGGGGGGTGAAAAAAATTTCGTTTTTTTGCTATTTTTTATTTTTTTGTAAAATTTAAAGGGAAGATAGAGGGTGAATTTTAAAGGTGGTAGGAGCAATATTGAGGGGGGGAGGTTAAATTTTAATGGACTTATGATATTGTAGCTGCCTGTAAAATGATCAATATGATATGATAACCAAATCCACTACATGTAATTGACTTGAACGTGGCCCTGAAAGGAATTGGTCGATATTTAGCCCAAATGCTCGCCCCTTTATTTTATTAGAAATTTTTTAAACTGTC